CCCCCGGATGGACATGGTGGAGCTGGAGTGGAGGCAGGAGGACCCCAGCAGGTGGCGGTTCGAGAAGGAGCCGAGAAGTCGCTTCTTAGTGGGGGACAGGGTCCTGGGGTGGCCTTTATAAAAGAAAAGCCCAGCCCCGAGGGAGGGGGAAAGGCCTCACACCTGAGTGGTTAGGCCCCAAGAGGGCTGGGCCTAACCCGACACCTGCCACCTCCAGGGAGCACTCAGGTGGGGGCAGCAGAGAGCTGCTCCCCTGCAGGAGCCCACCTCAGCACTGCCCTAGCAACCCAAGAAAGAGCAGTTCCCTGAACGTGAAACGAATGAAGAAATATGCCTATGGCAAGGAATGGCCGGAGTCGCCCAGCCGCTGGAGCCCTGAGTCCTGGGTCTTGTCTTCTTCCCGCCTGTGGAAAATAATCTGGGAGACTGGGAAGCGTGGCAGGAAACGCTGCCAGCGTTTGGGTCTCTGAGGCGTTGACGCCCCATAGACACCCTCTTGTGTCTCCCTGCTTCCGGGATTATGACTGGTGTGCTGAGGCTGCGTGACAGGGCCCCCCAGATTGCAAAGCCTTGAGTCTGAGGTCAACCGTTTGCCTCAACTCTCCAGTTTACTGCTACACCCCAGTACCCGATGCAGTACCAAGGGGGCCTGGGTAAGTATTTGTGGAATGAATGCGCACACAGTCTGGCTGCCTTCCCACTGCATCTGTAGGTACAAGCAAAGGGTGATCCAAACAGCACTTTTCCTGGACATGACTTACAGCCTTGCTCTCTCCCCAAATCCCAGGTTTCCCCAGGGGACTGAACACTACAGGTCTTGTGAAAGAATGCAGAGATTGAAGAACAAGGACTCAGAGGCAGAGAAGTATAGGGAGCTTAGAGAAGAGGGAAACTGCATAGGGGGTCTTCATTGTTCTGCTGCTACTTGAGGGAGTCATTCCCATTGCTGCCAGTGGGTGGGACATGGCAAGTGAGTTACATAGTAGGGGATGGGTTGGCACATGGGGTGTGGGTCAGTCTGCTGCCTTTTGGGGCCTCCTTCTATTCCCAGCCCCCCAGCACACACACACACACACACACACACACACACACACACACCCGCTGGTCCAGGGAGATGGAGGGCGAGTCCCTACACCTGTCTTCCTAAACCCATTATCAGAGTGAGTCACAAGCAGGCTGGGGCACGGCATGCACCTGTGGGAGGCTGGAGGCCAGGGAGCTGAGCAAGGCACCCCAGGCCTGGGTGGGGCTGGGCAGGGCAGGCTGTGGGTGGAAGGCAGGAGGTTTAGGTCCCCAAGGCAGAGATTCCACCTGTAATTAACTGATGGCTGGGGCTGGATTCTCTGGAAGATACTCCAAGGCATGACTTAGGGACTGGGTGGGTCTTAACTAGAAAAATGAACAAATGACAGACCCCTAGATGCCCTGGCCCCAGGTGACACATATTCCCCAATCCAGGATGGGGGTGACTTCCTCCTAGGAGGACAGATAAGCAGATTTCTCCTTGTTTTCTAGGAGACACCCAGGCTCCCAGAAGGGTAGTCACTGGGGACCACTCAGACCTAGAAGCACCCACTCAAATAATTTCCCTTCACAGCACCTGTGCACTCACATACGTGTGCACACACAAGCACCTTCTAGAAAGATAAATCCAGAGATACCCCCACCCTAGAAAAGACACAACGGTCACACTTCGTTCTCTCCTCCCCTCTTTTTTCTCCCTCGCCCACCCCCAGGACCTGGTCTCCTGACTCCCGGTGAACCAGAAAGGGGGAAATCCAGTTAGTACTTGTTTACACCAGGCCCTCTCACAGCCCTTTAAACAATGCTTAATTTTCTGAAGAATTGAATGTGTGTTCCCCCCCCCATGAATAGAATATCCACACCCTCCAGACTGAGAGACATCATTAGAAGACCAGAGGGACGGGGTTGGGCTGGTGCCAAGCCTGGGACAGAAAAGGCGGAAGGAGAGAGGGAGAGGCTGGTCAGACAGGTATGGCAGCCCTGGAAGGGAGGATTACCCCTCTCTTTTTCTTTCTTCCCCACACTGTTGTTGGAGGGACCTGAGGTGGGGGCCTTCAGAGGGGTGTGCTGTACCTGAAGTCTTGATTTAGGAGCACGAAACAGCAGCCCAGAGCTCTCTAACATTTCAGCCCCCTCCGCCCAACCTGGTTCCCTAGTTCCAAGAGTGTCTCCAATTTAACATAAGGGCAAAGGGGACTGCAAGGGACCCTGTGGTGTGCCTTCTGGCCCAGATCTCACCCAGAAGGAGTCCCCTTCCCTAGGGCAGCCCAGAACAATCCAGAGCCAGAATAATTTGCATCTCATTTGTCACCTTCCTAATACTAGAGACTTCAGCCGCCTACCTCTCCCCAGATGCCCTAAGCCCTGCCTCAGTATAGGAGAAAGGCCAGAGCTGCCCTCTCTGATGGCCCCCGCCTGGGATTAGGGAGCAGGGTAGGGGACAGAGGCAGAAGGGGAAGGCCCCCAGGACCAGGGCCAAGTGGTGAGGGAAGAGAGAACTAGACTGGGGCGGGCCTGCAGGTACGACTCCTTGTAAGGCTGTCGCTGGCCGCTGCGGTCTGCACAGTGCTGCCTGATCAACAAAAGGGAATGTGTTTGTGGTGACTGAGCCCGACCCAGTCAGCTCTGCCCCAAACCGCCTTTCCTGGAGAGCAGAAGAGAAGGATGAGATTGGGAAAGAGGAGACACTTCTCCCTGCACTGAGAGTGGATGACTCCAAGGGGGCCCTGAGGCCCTAGGCAGCTGTTTCAGGGCTGGGCCAGATGGGGTGTTCAGGGAGCTGTTATCACCACTCACACCTGTGGGAAGTGGGGAGAGATGGACTGAAGTTCTTCCCAGTGCTCAGGACACGACAGTCCCACGGTCACAGCAGCATTGCTCACGACAGCGCACAACCCAAGGTCCACCAGCCGCTGAATGAGGGCACAGAGCATGGTGAGTCCAGACCAGGAGGAAGTACAAATGCTTGCCCTGAGATGGGCCCTGCGAGCACTCTGGCCAGTGAAGGGAGCCAGGCACAGAGGCCACCTACTGTATGATTTGGAGGAATCCAGAAATATCGCCCCAGAATATGCCTCACCCTGTGCTGATTACCGCAAACTGGAGAAAATAGCCAATGCGTAGAGGGGCCACCTGTTAATTTCCCTTATGTGACTAAAGACAAATTCCCCAGAGGAAGCCAATTTCCATGAAAACCCTCCCTGGGGAGACCAGCAGTTAGCGTAATGGCTGTGTCACTGGACTCCCATGTAGTTGACTGTGGTTCAAGTCCCGGACCCAGCGGCTCAAACTCACACTGGGCACATATGTGTGTGTGTGTGTGTGTGTGTGTGTGTGT